ACCAGTTCACCATAATTAGGAATATCATTGGTGATGGCATTCAGCTTTGTCTTACTTCTGTCTCCACTTTAAATGCTTCAGTAAGTCGATAAAAATGGGGTTGAGGTTTGGCTGCCATTCTCTGCTCTGTTCAGTGATGATGTTGAATTCGATCCGAACATGATCCGTTTTTCCTGAATCCAGCTTGTTTCTGTTGGAGTTCTGTATCTGGTGCGCTTTTTAATCTCCCGATTAAAACAACTTCGTAATTGTTTCACATGAACAGCTAATCATGATAAGAACCACTGGAAACCGGGGAGTACTGTAAGTTCGCATTCCCATCCATGATTCGAACCGAGTACCTTCTGGTGACAAGGAATGCTCCTATATCTCTCAGTCACTGGGACCCAATTCAATGGCCAGTTCATAAATTCTGTCTTCTAGCAATTTGTGATTTTAACTCGACCACCAGCCACCGTCATCGGTGAGTCTTTTGTTTCAATCCCGAATCGCTGGACTCCACTGGTCATGACTTCTCAGAAAAACTTTAGTGAGTTTCTTCCTGTAGCCTGTCACTAGAGAGCATCAAGTTAATCTTCAGGAGTTAGTTTCGAGGGATCTAATTTGTTTCATGTTTGACAGCAGGTTGCAGTCAGTAAGAGAAATTTCGAAAAGCAGTGAGTGCTGGACAGTTTTTCCTTCCTAGTTTAGGACCTGAGTTCGAACCCATAACTTTCTGGTTACAAGACAAGCTGTCCAGTACTCCGTGTTTTCCAATGCTTCCCTAACTGATATCAACCTTTAGTCAAACTTAAAAGGATATAGTCTCATAAAACTCAAATGCAATCCCAGAAACTTCATAACTACCGAAGATCATACAATTCGTTCATACCTTGTCCATCCTTTCTCAATCTACAATTTTCCCAGTCATAGATAAAGCTTCACAACAGTTACCTTCGGATACAAAAATTATTTAGATCACATGAAATATGCGATCTGCCTGATACCATAAAAGGTAATCAAGAAAGCAAGCATCAACTCATGATGTAATATCCTATTGATTACTAAGAGTGATTGGATAGTACTCACTGCAACTAGTAATGTTCACGAATTAGTTTTCGAATCACCAATTTGACTCCATATATCAACAGTTAGCCCAAATAGCTAGCTAGCTAACTAGAGAGAAATCAGTTGATTTGAAATGATTTAGCCCTCTGAGTAACCTTAATACGTATATATTTCCGACCCTCCACCCGCCCAAACAAGCGAATTAGTCTACTCATGGTATTTAGGTCGCTTCCAACAAGCTAGCGACTACCAGTAACTGAAATATACGTCAGTTTATTGAAATTACATGTTTTCTAATATACTTTGTCTCACCCTCTACTCTATAAAGTTTTCAAAGTAACACTAGACATAGCCATATCTTAGACAATTGTGTCGCATAAAATGCACGAGTATTAAGAGGTTTTCAGCTAAAGGCTTGAGATTCGAAAGTTTCTGTGTCTCTGTTGTCGTTTCATATAGGGTGGGACTGCTGTCCTCACGCTCAATCTCTTCTCTTCACCAGATTAACTAGTGACTAGCTGAGGTTTTGGAGTAAATCAGCTGGAAATAGGATCCTGGATCAATTGAGTGTTCAGCAAGCATTCTACCACTGAACCACCAAAGTACACGATCCCGATGAAAGTTTACTATGATTTGCCTAACAACTAAAGATATTCAGTTATGTTGTCCACTTCAACACAAATAAAGAATATTAGGAAAACAATCGGAATATTTAACATGACACATATTATAGATTAATAAGCTGGGTTGAGAAAACTGTCTGTCCCCGCTTCTTATTTCACAAAATACAAACCTGTTCAAACGGATAAGCTCCTTTTTTAGCCGTGAAATCATGATTTATGCATGTGCTGATATGATATAACCCTACTGGACAATGTTGATTATTTTATCTATGCTTCCATTTTTTTGGAGGGATTTTCAGTGTGAGATGACCTTAATATATGTGTAAAACTTGGGCACTGTGGTAGTAAGTAATTCAATATTAGTTTGTTTATTAGATGCATCACACAGTCAAACAGTATTATTTACTGAATGACAAAGTTTCGAACACAATTCTTTATTGTTCTTAATCATATCAATCATAATCACACGACTTCTAAACTTTAGTTTAATAGTTTTCCTTGTTCTCTCCTATTTGTTGTAAGCGTAGTAGAATTTTCCAGATGTCCGCGTGGACAGGTGTTGAATCATTTCTATCACAAGTATTCTCTTCAGTTGATTCGATAAACAAAGCTTCCGTTATCAATCTCTCCCTCCACCCAGCTTTTACGTTAGATTATAAAATTCTCATCTTACACCATCCTATTGTATGGTTGTGTGTAATTGAAAGTGGTGAGTGCTATAGCTAAACTGTTTCCCAGATTTCTTATCTTATTACGGTCAACTAATCTAGATTTTGCTTGGTTTTGTGCTCCGCCAGTCTGACTGATCCTTTTCTGCTACTTCGACCTATGTATTTGACCTGACAATCATTGTAGGGAGGGTATTGGAGAAACTAAATTGTTTTGTTTAATTGGCTCCACAGGATTGATCCTTTAACCAACAAAGCTTGTTTCTAATTGAGTTTGTGGGTTTGGATGCCACTTTTATTCCTTCCTTGTTAGGAATTTCTGCGTGAGGTGGTTTCCAAGGTTCCTTCTCTGTATGGAATTACTACTGATGATTCAGATTCCTTATTGTTGGTGTTGTCAGTTTTAAAATCTTATGTAATAGCAGGGTGGAGGGAGAGATTCATAACAGAAGCTGTGTTTATGGAATCAACTGCTAACACGTGTAATAGGAATGATTCAACACCTGTCCTAGATATCTGGAAAATTCTACTAGCCCTACGACAAATAGGAGAGGACAAAGAAAACTATATAACTCAAGTTTAGAAGTCAAATGTTTACAAGTGATATGATTATGAACAATAAATTTTGTTCGAAACTTTGTTATCCAGTGAATAATACTGTTTCACTGTGTGATACATCTAAAGACGACCTTAGTTATGCCTAATATTCTGAGGTTTTGTAAATGTAGGATACCATGTATTCTGTCTACTCAGGGTCGTGGGTGTTTCAATCTGTCGATTCTCTCTATCGCGGTGCGGAGATACCTTCAAGTGCCCGCTTGGTTATAGTGTCGCTTTATAGACGGGTAAACTAGATGAACCTACGACCCAATATCTCTCCGTTAATACATACCAAATTAATTTAAAATGTTCCTAATTTCACAATAAGAGCAGTAGACGTATTGGCTAGAATTCGAGTAGTTTGTACTGAATTGACTCCTTGAACTCAGTTTGTCCGAGCACTCTATACTAAAAGAACTAAACGCCAGTCTGTTCTTTAGTTCACTTTGCTGTGAATAGCAAGCGTTATCGCTTACTACTGTGACTACTGAATAGCAGTCAGCCTTAAGCTGAATAAAGTATATCGTATCCATTGATTCACTTCAGTTACCCTTGTGCTTATTATTAATAATTCAACTTATAAATGATACGGAAATCTCTCAGGATTACGAAATTGACTTCTCCTTGACAAATATACATTGACATCGATCTGGGAACTGTTATCACGAAGTCGATCTCAAGTAGGTAAAAACGAAGATTTTGATCTATTTGTTTTCTCTGAACACGATAGTTTACTTGCGAAGCTTTTATTGCCTTACAAAGCAACATCTTCAGCGCATACTTCAGTTTGTTCAAAATGTGCTTTGAATGATTCTCCATGAGTTTATAAGTCATCTCTCCTGTTGACCATGAAAATGATTGGTTACTTTTTGTCTCTTTTCACACCCTCTAGTCTATTTGTATTGGTACTGATTATTTGCTCGGCCTGAAGTTTGACTTTTTGTGCACGGAATTTTCCTCTTATGGATTAGTGAATTATATCTGTGTCGGTGTGCCTGTTAATTGTTTTTTCACTGGAATACCAGTTTTCTAAAAATACTCTATCATTCTTGGTACTTCTTGGTACGTTGTCCCAGTCGAATTGATGGCCGTCGTTGTCTGTGTGTAGTGATATGAAAGAGTGTATATGATGTCTTTTGACGGCTAGTTTATGTTCATGGATATGAAGACGAAGGTGACGTTCACTTTGGGTGACACTGAGTTGAATGAAGTGATTTTGTTGATTTGTGTGCGACGTCAATTCCTAAAGGTTTGAAGAGTCTTGCAGTGATTTCTGAGAGGTCCTTACATACAGCAAGATGATTTTCTTTGTATTTTTCTATCCCAAGGAAGTATGAGCTTAAGATTTTGCCTAGTAGGGCAGTAAAAGCTTCTCAAGTAGACCACCCAACTCAGAGAACACAACTACATCAAAATCAACAACCTGAGCTACAAATCTTCTATATTACATCTAATAATGAATATATTTAAAAGTGTCTACAGTGCAGTATATGAGGTTAGATAGCTGATTAGACAAAAAGACTATTTTACAGACACTTTGTGCGGTCTAAAAGCTGACATTTTAACAGTCAGGTGTAATGTGATAATGGTAGTTGTAGAATATATTTGAATATGCCTAATTAAATATTATAAAAGGTACTTTCCAACAACTTGAAGGTTTTCGGCATCTCTCCAGCAGTTACTATAGTAACTATAAAAGTCTCATAAAGAACACAATAATTATAATGAAAGCAGAGATTATGTGTTACATTGATTAGTTATAAGCTCCAAGCTTAGAAGTTGCAATAACAGTAGTGTCGCCTTTCATGCTATGGAATTCCTACTCTCGTGTGCACTCTTCCCTGTGAATGTATTAGGCGATGACTACTAGTGCATTAACGAGAAATCGAACGGATATCATATGCATCCTTCCGACTGGAACACTGACAAACAGTCACCATACAGATAACGGCATACCAATTCACAGTTTATCGATCAAATGCCTGCATAGCAATACTAGAATAAAGTGTACATTGTAGCACATTCTTTAAACTTTGTTCTTCTGTGTATTCTTCACTTTTAGATTTAACCTCCTACGCCTACAAATGTCCTGATCTACAAACAAAGCCGATATCTATCAGTAAATTGGAGGTGATGACACATTTTAGTCGGAAAGAACTACAGCTATTGTATCAAGGCTTTAAACAGGTAAGCAATTAAACATATAATATTTGTAAAACTGTTTGTGCATTATAGAATACGTCAATTAATTTTCATTGAGCAGTAGGCAGTAATTATTGTCATATGTCTAGTCCTTGATGTTGAGGCAGACTTAATTCTACCAGTCACGTTTTCATAGTGCATTCAGAAATGATCTCAGATGGTTTCGGCAAGATGCCATGGACCTAGGTTTCGTGCTTGTTGACACTCATCAGGAAAGTATATCTTCAAAGATGAATGACAGAAATCAGCCAACACCAAGAACACCAAGCACTAGATGCGTGATATAATTGGCTACTATCTAGTGTCCTATCAAAGTACCCAAGATGAGCACGAATAGCTCAATGGTAACGTATGTTTGACTGTAGCATTGAGTAACACGGGTTCGAATCTAGGAAGGAATATGAGTTCCTTCAAGGTTGCCGAAACGCCCAGTTGATGAGTGCTAGCAATTATGAAGTTGAGGTGAAGTAGGGCTTACTGCCGACTGCTTCTAACCGCCTACCAGTAGATCTATTAATTATAATTATAAATTCAATTACTGTTTACATAAAATAATATGTTTTTGACTTTTTGAAATAGTTTAAGCAAATTTAATGTTTGTTGTCACGCAAACTGTTGAAATTGTTTTTAATTCCATCATTATGTGCGTAAACAATGACTCAATAATTATAATTAATTGATGTATTTGCATGTTTTATACACCGTTCGCTTATTCTAATAATGACTAAAAACAATTAACAGTAAATACAAGTTTATCTGGAAGATAAATGCTCATGTCACAATGGTATTTTGTTTTGAAATTTGTCCAAATTAGAAGAATTAAAAGTCAGTCTGAACGAAGAATATTATTTTCAATAAAATTCTCCTCTTCAGACTCTTACAATTATAAAATTATATTTATTGTCGTTACAATAATGATAGCCAGTTATGCGGCGGATATATTTCTTTTTACGCAGAATAACAGATTAGTTATGGAGTGTCAAAATAAATAGTCGCATCTGTGTGATAAACGTCGTGCTAGGCTGAAATCGATTACAAAATATTGTGAAGTAGGAGACAATGGTGGTGATTAGTCATAATAGATTTACAGAGTGTGGGAAGCAAAAAATGACAAGTCAGTTTAGGGTTATAAAAGTTGTCAGGCGGGTGAGTGGCTAGTACAAAGTGGTATGTATTAAACAGGAGGTGGTTAGACTGCAAAGAGTGGTTCATAATGAAATAACGAATGTGTGGAATGAAACAGGTGGAGGCATATGTTGAGAAAAGAGATAATATCACTAATAATAAGTCTGGATTGAAAAAATGGAAAATCCAATCGTACTGAGAGAATGTTCGCATGAAGGGCATAACTTATTACGAATACTAATAAACAAAGGGGAAAAAACAAAAATAAACCAAGAGGGTTAAGGGGAAGAAGTATTCTTGGTGATAAGAAGAATCATCAATCTAAGTTTGGCCACGGTAGAAACAGCACCTGAACGTGTTGTTTTCTTTGGATACAAAGCTCCGGTTTAGTCGATCTTATTGCAACAGCTTCAGCTATGTGTAGGAGACGTAAGCGAACTGTACGTGATAACGACTTCGGAAATACGATATGTAACCCTGAAAGCTGTGTTAACATCGATGCGATGTCCAGTATCGACCAAGTGTGACAGGATCGGGCTTTTTTTATGCACTTAATTTCCCCCTGTTGAACCAAGCTGGTAAATGTTCTCGAACCCGTAGACGAACCTGCCTAATCATGCGCCCTATATAACTTGAACCACAGGAACAGCTGAAATGATATATGCATGAAGAAGAGCTAAGGTTAGGTAAGACATGTTTGAGTTGCGGGGTGAACATTGGACGGCTACTGAAGGATACACACAGACGTGCAGAGTAGAAAGTTTTCTTGATCGCCCTGGTTAAACGCTGCGATAGAATCTCTGCAGGAGTGTCTCCCTTGAATTGGAGACGTAAAAACAGAGGCTTTTTCTCCACCGTTTCTAGTTCATGTTTACGACTATTGTAACCTCGAAACTTCAAGCTCGATGTTCCACTGGGGAACGTGATGTAAAAAAAAGATGAGAGTTTTAGAATCTAATGTAAAAGCAGGGTGGAGGGGAAGATTGACAATGGAAGCTCACAATAGGAAGGATCAAGCCCCTATCACGGACACCCCAAAAACTCTACTACTCTTACGTCGAATTAGAAGGAATAAAGAGACCTATAAAACGGAAGTTTTGAAGTCGTGCGGTTATAATTATTATGGTTAAAAACAGTAAAGAATTGAGTTCGAAACTTTGTCATCCAGTAAATAATACTGTTTCACAGTGTGATGATATATCTAATAAACAAATTAATATTTGAATTACCCTTCTATCCTTTTACAAAACTCTATTTATTCATTACCTCATAACTCTTAACTTTATATGATTTTGACCTAAATCAATTATTATTGAACTAATAAGGAAAAATACAGGCTTTTGCAGCATGCTGAAATATTTCTTAGCAAAGACTTTATTTTCAATCTCTGCAGTTGTACTTATTTATATTACGGGAAAAGGCATAAAGTGGCACTAAAATTTACTGATATTTTCATGCTAACATTATTATTATTCATATAACCACCTGCTTCAATTGCTTGTACTTTTGTAATTGTTGACCTTATTATCACTAAAACCGTTGGCTTCATTGATACATTTACAATATTTAAAAATCACGTCTGATCCATACATATATATATGATAAATACACCTAGTTTGGCCTATTAATATATGTGTAAAACTTGGGCACTGTGGTAGTAAGTAATTCCATATTAGTTTGTTTATTAGATGTATCACAGATGTATCAAACAGATATTTGAACTTCCGATCATCCCATCCTTTGTCAGTGAAAATAGGATTGGTGAAATGTTTAAGTGACTGAGCACAAAAACAAAGTGGTACCAAGGAAAATCTAAGACAGTAAGTGAGGCATATAAGGGAAGCTTTGAAACTTAATAATTACCCTGATAAATTAGTCAGAAAGTGTGTAGGGAAATGTAAAAATAAAATAAATAATGATAGTAGTGATAGTGATAGTTCAATAATAATAATAATAGTAATATTAATGACGACATGCATGTCAAATATGCGCAAGATAATGACAACACCAACAATAAGGAATCTAAATCATCAGTAGTAATTCCATACAAAGAAGGAACTCCAGAAACCACCTTACGTAGAATTCTTAGCAAGGCAGGAATAAAACTGGGTGACATTCAACCACCCACAAATTCAGTTGGAAACAAGCTTTGTCAATTAAAGGATCGAAAGTTTCAAAGTCGTGTGATTATAATTGATATGATTATGAACAATACATTTTGTTCGAAACGTTATCCAGTAAATAATACTGTTTCACTGTGTGACACATGTAATAAACAAACTAATATGGAACTAGTTTTGCCTAGTTTTTCCTAAAACATAGAAATAACTATTTAAGGAGTTATCGCACACTAGCTTGAGCTCTTTGTTTGAACTCTGTTTGAACTGCCGGATCGCTACTGGCTTTTACTGCATCACTGAATTACTGCATTTTCAAAGTCATTCTAAGAGTATATACAGAGTTTCCGTCTAACATTTCAACTGTTGTTTCAGACAATATAAGCTCTTTTATTCGACATCCAGTGTTTTGTTTTGTCTATGCATACCGGAAGTGTTGTTATTATTATTGTTATTCGCTATAGTTGGTTTGTAAGGATTAGTTTTGTTTCTACGAGTTGATCATGGATTGATATCAGTTAGAGAACCATTGAAAACCAGGGAGTACTGGACAGCTGCTGTTTCATCCTAGTTTGGGAATCGTCGGCAGTACGCATTCACTGGGTTTCGAACCCAGGACCTTCCGGTTACAAGGCAAGCTAGCTCGTATACACTTCAGCCACTGGGACCCGATTCAATGGCTCATAATTTCTAACTTCTACCAGTGGGTGCGTACTGCCGATAATTCCCAAACTAGGATGAAACGGCTGTTCAGTAGTCCATGATTTTCAATTGTTCTCTAACTGATATCAATCAGTGATCAACTCGTAAAAATAAAACTAATCCTTACAAACCAACTATAGACAATTAATCTGATGCTTGCTAGTGACTTGCTACAGGATGGAGTTTACTGGAGTTCTAATGAGAGGAGGTGACCAGTGAGGTTCATCCAGTCACGCGTGAGAATGGATGGGTCACCGACGATATTGGTTGGGGTAGCGCTAAATCACGAGTTGGTAGAAGTTAGAATTCATGGACTAGCAGTTGAATCGGGTCCTAGGGCATTAATGGTCTACGAGCTTGCCTTGTAACCAGAAAGTCCTGAGTTCGAACCTGTGTAGTGTGTGCACACTACTGAAGAGTGCCAGACTAGGACTGAGGAAGCAGCTGTCCAGTACTACCTGGTTTTCAGTGGTTCTCTAACTGATATCAATCCGTGATCAACTCGTAAACATTATTGTTGTTGTTGTTTTTGACGTGCGATTAGAACAGATTAGTTAGCGCACTAAGTTAGTATTCAATCATGGTCTTCTAGGTCGTATTTCCGGTCATAACAATATATAAACCCTCATTGTCCAAACAATTTTATGTATAAAGCTATTTATCATTATTTTTCCCTTGAGTTCCGAGTGAAATATGCCACTTCAATACACCGTCTCCACTTTACCTGTCCCGTTCTCTGCATTCCACTTCAGCTGGCATCACGATTTTTCATAAGCTCTCATCTTCTCCTCACAGGATATCCCCCTAGTCCCGTCCTGAGCCATGCCTCACTCGTCGTTTCCCATTCGGTTTCCCTTTGGTGATGGTCTATCACCTAACGGTCTTCTCAGCGTGTGTCCAATCCATCACTAATATCTGTTGAGCAACAGGTTCTTGAATAATGCGTACACACAGTTTCTTGTTGATAATTCTTTCGAAAAAGGCGGCCATCTGATCTTCAGTATAGAGTTAGCGAAGGTAACTGTTGATAAAAGTCTGCAG